CCCCCAGCCAGTGGTGCGGGAACCAGGCGTGTGGCTGCACCCCCGGGCTAAAAGTGGTGTCCGTCACTACAGGGGTTGCAGCTCAGTTCGGTGACTCTCAGCCCCTGCCCCCTCCTTCCCGCACTGTTTCAAGGCCAGTGACCCCCGCCAACACAGCACAGCTGGGCGGCAGACAGCAGCCCAGAAACCACAGCAACGCTCCCCCCTACATAACTCCAGTCCCACCCTCCAAACCCAGTGTCAACTTTATCCAAAACAACAGTAACATCCTATCCCAGCACACCATTTTTAACACGTACTCCCCTTACACTTTTTAAAACAGATTGTTTGGTATAAGCAGACGCCTTGCATCCCATGTAGCCAACAACTTGGGTGATCAGATAGCAAGTGTGAAAAATCAGGACAGGGCCTGGAGGATACGAGGTGTCTATATAAGACAAACCCTTGAACATCAGGCCTGCATAAAATTGGTACCTCTGGTCTCCCTAACCCCCACTCCCTTATGCATAAGCACCAATAGACACATGACGTGCCCCACTGGCACCCATCTCTCCCATACCTATACCATATACCCTTAACACACATTACACAGCAGTGGGAAGAGTAAAGACAAAACAGATTTGCCCAAAAGACTTTAACAGAGACAGACAAAACAGGCATCCTAAGTTCAGGAAAATAAGTGCAAAGATGTACTCTGGGAACAAAATCTGAGCTCTTTCTTTCTTATTCCCTGCCTGTTCTATTTCTGGTGCTTGGTGGCAGATATGAAACATTCACATAGGGCAGTAATGTGAGCAGACTCTGCAGGTCACAAGCAAAGATTATTCAATTCACACCCCTATGTTAACCGTGTCACTGTAGGATCCAAGTGTCTTTCAGCCATCTGTAACATCTGTCACATATAGTTCCTTCTCTCTCTCATTCTTTCTCACAGTGAAGAATATCATGCAACCTGAAGTGTTTTATTTTCTTGGAGTTTTGGTTTTAAGTTGTACACATTGCTATGTGTTTATATGAGAGTAAGCAAGGATAAAGAGGCGCAACTTGCACTTGGAGTAGATATCAGAGATGTTTGTGATTATCCTTAGTTCTTCTGAGATTTTATTCCATGATGTCAGACTGGCCCCCAAGAAAGCTCCATGTCCCTCAGAGGCCAGCTTTACCCTTATTGTGGAGTTCCACTACTCCTAAGAATTAACCAGAAACCGTCTCCCAAAACTTTAGGCAATCTTTTCCACATCCTGAAGCCAGGCCATTAAACCTCTCTAAGATAAAACTTGAGACGTGGCTTGAATTTGACATGATATTCAAGGGA